AGTGGTTCGACAAATGTTGCATCCACGAAACCTATGTCGAAGACAGAATTATGGCACATGAGATTGAGCCATGTCAGCGAAAGAGGCCTGATCGAATTGGGGAAGCAAAACCTGCTAGGAGGTGACAAAGTCGAAAAGTTAGAATTTTGTGAATCTTGTGTATTTGGTAAATCCTGTAGGGCGAAGTTTAACAAAGGCAAGCAAAGAATACATGGATCCTTGGATTACATTCATGCTGATCTTTGGGGGCCTGCAAGAAGTCCTTCACACTCAGGTGCAAGGTATTTTCTATCCGTCGTTGATGACTATTCCAGAAAGCTATGGGTATTCATTTAGAAGACGAAGGATGAAACTTTTGAGAATTTCAAAAGTTGGAAGATTTTGGTCGAAACTCAAACTGGCAGAAAGGTTAAGAGGTTGAGAATCGACAATGGCCTTGAATTCTGCAACGAAGCGTTCAACAGTTACTGTGTTGAGTGTGGGATTGCAAGGCATAAGACTGTAGCAGGTACTCGTCAACAAAATGGATTAGCTGAGAGATTCAATCGAACAGTCCTTGAAAGGGTTAGATGCATGTTGGTTAGTGTTGGATTGAAGAAGGTGTTTTGGGCGGAAGCTGTTTCGACAACAGCTCACCTGATAAATAGATGTCCCTCGACTGCCTTGGGAATGAAGACACTTGAAGAAGTTTGGTCGGGACATCCACCTAGTCTCGAAAGACTGAGAGTATTTGGCTGTGTGGCCTATGCTCACATTAGGCAAGACAAGGTCGAACTTAGATCTCTGAAATGCATGTTCATGGGATACCATGAAGGAGTCAAAGCTTATAGGCTATGGTGCCTAGAGCCAGGTCACAGGAGATGCATCACCAGTCAAGATGTAGTTTTTATTGAAGCCGAGATGGCTTTTAAGAAAACTGATGATGCTGATGAAGAGCTGGAACAGGGAGAGATTCCTGTTGAGGTGGAACATGTTGATGCTGAATTGCTTACCACTACAAGAAAAAGGAGATTTATGACACTTGAGTTGCGACAGTTATCACAAAACCGTCCTTATTCCTGGATTGCGACGGTTGTCACGAAAGTTAGGGTCAACTGTCATAGATTTTTTGCGACAGTTATCAAAAAACCGTCCTTATTCCTGGACTACGACAGTTCTCACGATGGTTTGAGCCAACCGTCGCAAATTTTTTAGGCATGTTGTATAAGATAATGCGACAGTTACCAAAGAACCGCCTTCTTTCCACACTCGCGACAGTTAAGGCGAACCGTCGCAATTACTTTAACCAATCATAATCACTATTTTTTTATTCCTTTAATTTTCCATTTTTTTTCTTGCATTTTGATTTTCTAACCTTTTCAATTTTATTAATTAATTTAATAAATAATTATTATAATTTTCATGACAATGTAGCTTAATATTTTTGTCTAAAATAATAGTAAAACATTTTCTGTTTTATTATATAAATAGTTAACTTTTATTGGTAACAATGTTAATATATATATATATATATATATATATATATATATATATATATATATATATATATATATATATATATATATATATATATATATATATATATATATATATATATATATATATATATATATATATATATATATATATATATATATATATATATATATGTTTTAACATTTCAAGCTCATATGTAGCTTTTCTGTAGCGACGATTTACACCAACCGCCCTTTAATTTCACTCCCATAAAATCCAGGTCACGACAGTTGTTTGACCGCCACTCGATAAATTATAATATTAGTTATAAGTCTAGCCAAATTATGAGTACCATGAGTAGATGACTAATTAACATTAAATCTTTTTATTTTCTCATTATTTTTTCTATTTATTTTTTATTCACATTATGTTTTAAGTGCGTACTCAAACCGTAGAACTCTACCCCAAAATTTCATCTTAGTACATTATGAACGTAAACCCTAGAACATCTATCCAAAACCAATTTGAGCAAATTGATTTTCACTTGCTCGATTTAACTTTTCTTTCATATTATTATCAAATCAATTTCACCTTACTTGATAGCCTTTCATTAACCATCACCGTATTCATCTCTCGATTTTAACTTGTTCTTGATTTTACTTCTAGTGGCTACAACATCTCATCTCAGCAACAACACCTTCTTTTCGAGGTAAATTTGCTCCCATCTTTCACAATTTTGTATTTTTGTAGATTCAAGAGTTTAATCGTAATGTAAACCTGCTTTAACCATCCAATAGATTAACATAAAATTTTCAATGTCTTTATGTTGATTTGGTCTACAGTTCGATGGGATTTTTGTTGTCCCGATTTGCTTAGGATAATTATTGTTGTTGTTGTTTCCTCCTACATTCGAGTATGTTGTAGCCAATTGCCGACCATACACTTCTGCGGGTCTCCAAAGCAAAACTTCGTTGTTGTTATCTCATCGAATGAGGAACAAGTTACTCCCGAAACTCATTCATCTAGTTCGACCCGTACAAAGCCCAAGCCTAAGTCGAGTGCAACGGGCTCCAGAGGAAGCAAGAAAGCTCGTGTTTCCAATTTTGTGCCTTGTCTATCTAAGCTTCGTGAGGTGATATCAATCAATCCATTTACTTTAGTTATTCATTTTATTAAATTGTCCTTGTTTTTATTGGTACTTCCATCTGTGTGACCTATTTTTCACCGTGGTACCTTAGTTCTAATTTCATTTTTAAAAAAATGACTAAATGGGGGAGAATATCATATGAATAGTGACATTGTTTGATTGTAGATAAACTTGTTTGATGGTGATTTTAGTGAAGTGTTTACTAGGTTAACGGTATTCATTGGTATGTTGTTTCAGTGTTTTTGTTTAACATGCATCTTTGCTTTTATATGAACTTGGGAACCTTGTTATCAAGAATATAATTGTTCTGCTATTGAAATATTTGATGAACATAAGTTTTAAAGGTTCTGTCAAATATATATTATCTTTAGGTTATTGAACTATATCTACTATTTTAATGGTTTTAATTTTTCATCTATATGGTATAATTCTGTTTTAATGGTTCTGTCTCGATATAACTATATTCAGCCAAATGTTTGGTGAATAACTTGTATACATATGATGATGATAAATTCTCTGAAGGTTGTCTAAGAGTGGGTTTAGATTATTCAACAAAAATTCGATTTATATATGGATTTTTAAAATCAAATCCTTATTGGTAGAAAGAAAACAGAATATACTCATCATGTAAATTATAAATATAGTCATTGAATGTTAGGCATGGATGATTTGCAAGCTGAGGGATGTCTATATTGATGACTACAATGGCAATGGTCCCTGCCAGTTTGTGTGTGCAGAGATTAGATGCTCAAGCTATAAATGAGAGCAAGATTTTATTTATCTTATTTCATTTTGTAATACATTATTCTCTGTATCATACTCATATGTTAGTCTATTGCAGGTTCTACTTCTTAAGTGTAAATAGACTTGTACATAATGACTAGTCCATGTATTGATGAGGCAACATGTAAATTTTTTTAAAGTCATAAATTTTTTGGTCTTGAAGCGGAACAGGTAAGATGTCTTTAATTATTTTTCTTGTATTAGTAGAACTTATTTTACAATGGTTTGCTGAATTTCAACTCTCCTCTTTGTTATATAGGTTGCATTTTTCCAGCAAAGGAACTTCTCGCGCCTTTCAAACAATCACTACAGGGAGAGTGGGTTGTAATGGAAGGTAGAAAAAACACAGAGATAAAGGTATTATTTTGTTCTTCTATTATTGGAACTAATAGTTTTAAGAAAATATTGCTTTTAATTCTTGAGCTCTCCCTTTCAAATGATGTATATTGTTGAGCTATCCCTCTCTAAAATAGTTTACATACTTACTCCATGGAGTGCTCATTGATCCTTTTCAAATCAAATATAATCTTTTTAGTTGTTTCTAATGAGAATGTCTATGTGGCTAGTTGGTTGTATATCGTAAGAACTGTTATTTCCTCTAAGGTCTCTCGTAAATGATTTCGTTGAAGGTGATGCTTCTAGCACCAATTGCTTCCTAGCCGGTGCAGCAGTTACTAGTGGAACTATCACGATTATAGGTTGTGGGACAAGCATTTTACAGGTATTTAAACACGGGAATTACAACATCCATTTAAAACGTTTTTATATCTTAATGTTTATGTTTAACTTTTCCGTTTCATTTTAAAGGGGGTGTAAAATTTGCTGAAGTTCTTGAAAAGATGGGAACTAAAGTTACATGGACAGAAAACAGTGTCACGGTTACGGGGCCTCCAGGAGATTCTTCTGTTTGGAGAAAAATGATGATTTGGGTGAAGAGCCCATACAAACAACACCACCAGATGTGAGTAAAACAGAAAAGGCCCTCAGTGTTAAATCTATTCCTCTTGCTGATAATGCAGAGGAAAATCCAGGCAAGGGTTGTTTTGGTACCAACGATTGCCAATTAAATGGTCATGTTCTCATGAGTAAATCTGTAAGTGTCTGTAATGGTTTCAAGTTGTTTTCCTCACATCTTATGAGTTAGTTAGACATTTTTGTTCAAAATACTTTTTGCTCTGAATTTTTTGTCTTTGATGTCACCACTTGTGCTGCTAGTTAGTTGATAGGAATCTTGATGACGTAGGTACTTAAACCACATTTATCGGGGAAATTTTTCAAAGCTCCAAGTTCAGTAAATTACAGAAGGCTAATGGCGATTATGGGAGATGATTTTGGTAATTGTTTTATGCAGAAAATTCTTTATTATTTATTGATGGCATAAGCGTAGGTCATGATTTAACTTGATATGCGTGATGAAATTAATTAGCTTTAGACATGATTTTGAAAATAGTTTCCTGCAGAAAATCGTTTGTTATACATTCTGGTCTTTTAAGGGGTGTTGAGATGTTTAAACTTTCAATTTAGTAGCTTGTGAACTTTTTAATACCTTATATATTTACTTTTGATGATACATACATATACATGGTTTTACTTTTGTTGGTAACTTAGATATACCATGTTACCTTGGATGTCTTTGCAGGTGCATAGACCTTGCTTGCATGGGAAGCTGATCAAAACCCCAGGTTCAGTCAACTATAGAAGGTTGCTTCCATTTTTGAAGAATCATACTAAAGAAGACTTTGGTAACCACTGTTTTCAGCCGTTTATGAAATATTAGTTATATACATTAGATTTTAGTTAGAAATGGACAATGAAGGTACTAGCTGATTTTGCAGGTACATTAAAATTTGGTGATCAGGCTCAAGAAGCAGGTTTGTGTGCAAATGAGCTTCCTTTGCCATCTCAAAGTGAAGAAGCTTCTATTAACATACAAATGGCAGTCAGTGGCCCAATGCAAGACAAAGTTGACCCTAATGCTTTAGCAAACAACATCTTAGTTAATCCTACTAATATGTTAACACATGGCAACCTTCTAGAATTGACATCTTCCCAAGACTTCTCTGAATTGCCAATGCAATTGGATGCAAAAAAATTTATCTCAAATGAAGAACCTAGGCCACCATCATAGAAGATTATATCTGATAAACCAGAGTTACCAAACATTGCAGCACATGGTCGTGACATAGCAGAAAGTCGTCTAAATGGATTAGTTTATGCCTCAAAGATGCCTTTAAAAGGAAGCAATGTCAAAAATGATAGCTCTATTTGGGAGATTGAAAATGGATATGAATCCAAGACCACAGTGGTAAGGACTTCAATGTTTTAATAACATCTCCAAAAAAAATTAAGTTTTTATCCCTCATTATTACAATACTTTTCCTGCTGTGTTAATTTTTTTCTTAAAAATATATTTGATTTCTTTTAAACAGGATATAAATCATTGTCATCGAATGAAGTTGTTTAAACATGCCTGACCTTTAAACTACTAAAGAATGGTTCCAATTTTCTTGGAAGTTGTGAAGTCTAATTCTTATAAGTATTGATTCTTATTGTATTGAAAGATATGGCTCTGCAAAAAAAGTTCAATTTCAGTTTTTTTTAATTGGCATCCGTTGTTTATAACTAAACTTACTACTTTTAGGTTCTTCAAATAATGATCATCACCCAAAAGTTCAGAAGCTTTTGGATCATACTCCAGCTGTTCTAATTTCAGATTCAAACTTGTTAGTAAATCTGATAAGTGCTTCAAATGACTGTTCCTATGGATGGTAGAACATGTGATTTTGGTGCTCAGAGGAAACAAAGTTGCAAGCTTGTGATTCAAATAATGATAGTTCAAGCCCAATATCTCAACTACCAAATAAACAGATCATATCAAATGTATTTGATTCTTTATCTGCATGTAATTGTAATATGATAAGCTTCTAACATATAAAGTGACATGGTGCTTGGATAAATGTAATATGATGTATATGTTTAATTGAATGAAGAATACCCATTCTGTTCATATTTCAACAAACAATTTTTTTTTAATTTTAAAAATGAATTACCTTGGATAAATGTAATATGATATATATGTTTAATTGAATGAAGAATACCCATTTTGTTCATATTTCAACAAACAATTTTTTTTTAATTTTAAAAATAAATTACCTGTGGAACAGAAAGTTGCGACGGTTGGAACCGTCGTAATATGATGTCAAAGAATTTTTTTTAAAAAAATATTTGCAACTTGCGGCGGTTCAAACCGCCACAATATACTTTCACAATAAAACAAAAATCATTAAGCAAGTTAAGACGGTTGAAAATCGTCACAATATGGAGATTACGACAGTTAGCTATCCGTCGTGAAAATAATGACGGTTTGTATGACAGTTTTCACAACCGTCGCAATACGGCCTCGCGACGCACGTTTCTGCGACGGGATTGAAACTGTCGTAACTTACAAATTGCGACGTTTAAAACCGTCATAATCTATCAAAATGAACCGTCGCAATTTGCCAATTTTCTTGTAGTGTATCCCCAGATGAATTTGAAGAAGATGCAGAAGATGAGGAGACTAATAATGACTACCTGCTAGCAAGAGACAAGTCGAGGGGAGTCATCAAGCCACCGCAGAGACTGGGGTATGCAGATCTTATAGCTTATGCCTTAATCTCTGTAAGTGAAGTTCTAGACAAAGAACCTAGAGACTATAAGGAAGTTATGAGGAGTCGAAAAAAAGACTGAGTGACTGAAGGCCATGGATGATGAGATGAAATCTCTTCATGATAACAACACTTGGGAACTGATCAAGAAACCTACTGGAGCCAAGTTAGTCAGCTGTAAATGGATTTTCAAAGTTAAGGAAGGAATCGTAGGATACCTTTTAGAAAATTATCAAATAATCGTAATATTTTGCAAGCGGAATACTTTATCAAACCTATGCAATTTAAGCTAACAATTAGCAAGACCAATTCTATAGCAGAATAATGATAATAGAAAAATTAAATAACAAGAACACTTGATTTTTAACATGGAAAACTACCCTCAAAGTGAGAGAATAAGAACCACGGGAGATAGTCCACTAAAACCTTCTACTATATAAATAACGAGTATACAAAATTCTTTGTAGTAATATTAGGGAATAACAATCTTCACCAATAAACAATAAAAGTGAGAAACACAATATAAATGACCCCTCTACAAAATATTGTATACCAAAACAACTCTAAGAGAATTTAAAACTACTAAACATGAATATAAACAAAATTAAGGCTTAATACTCTTTTTAGTCTCATATCTTAACTTCGGGGTTCATTTTGGTCCCTTAATTTAAAAAGATTCATATTGACTCATTAACTATTCAAAACGTTCCATATCAGCCCTTTTTGTCTAATTAGCGACGAATTTAACGATTTATTTTGGATTTTTCCATCTCTAATAGGACAAAAAGGACTAATATGGAACGTTTTGAAGAATTAAGGGACCAATACAGACCTTTTTAAAATTAAGGGACCAAAATGAACCCTGAGATGAAAAAAACAACATACTGAATTTGTAGCTCAAACTGATAAAGTTTTCTAAACTCATCTATCACGTGTGCCCTTTTCTCTCCTCTATTGCAATTCTATGAAACCCTGGTTTAGTTTCTTATTTGTTGTGTTTCTTTAGAATTAAAAATATTGTAAATGTGCCTTAAAACCTTTGTTGATGAAGAGAAGAAAACATATTTTGGAAATTGCATTTACCGCAACAATCTGAAGCTTTAGAAATTCGGACGAAAAGTCGAGAAAAAAAATCAGTCGGTGAATAGTGACTGTCGTACGACGAATAGTATTATCCGTACGGGTGAATAGTGACGTCCGTACAATGAATAGTATTTTCGAGTTTTCAGGCTTTTTTCGATTTGGTCCATGGATCCATGTGGTTTTGGACTTTATTTGTTGGGTATTTTATATTATAAATATGTATCTCTTATATGTTTGGTGTGTGACAATCTTAGAGTTTTCACCAACAAGGGACACCAATGGTTTAAAGGTATAACATAGGGTTTCAGCTATGCACAAAGAAAATATTGGATTACACCTTGGAAAATATTGGATTACACTTTGGGTTCGAGTGATTCATATATTGAGAGTTGGAGAGATAGGAAAATACTTGTGTAAAAAATAGGGTTGTCCTTGGGCGCCTTCAGGATTGTTCTTGGGAACTTGAAGGCGAAGACTATTTTCTTGTAACTCATTTGTAATCTCTTGTAATAACTTTCTGAGTATAGTAAGTTGGGGAACTGCTTTTTCCCCTAGAGTAGATCGTTTGATTGAATTAGGTAAACAAACCTTTGGTTTTTTCTTTCCTTATTCTGTTATGTTATCTGTGTACGGATTATTATTGCTGAAGACCATTTATTTTGGTTGTTATTGCTCTTTGTCTCACAAATTGATATTGAATTTTGTCGTAATTCACAACAAGATTTACAACAAGTGGTGCGGTGAGTGTGGAGCAAAGATATATTATTGACAAGTGAGCACCATGGTTAGTAGATGGCAGATCGAGAAATTTTTCAGTAACAACGACTTTGGGTTGTGGAAAATTAAGATGCAAACAATTTTAATTCAAGAGAAGTGTATTGACGCACACACATTTTAATGATCAAGGCATCGATACACTTCTCTTGATATTAAATTTTGTCATAATTCACAGCAAGATTCACATGTATGGATAACACATGTAAAGGAACTAGTCAATATGGATAACACATGTATCTATCATCCATTTCATATTTAATTTCTTACACAAATTCAGCTTGTGGAAACTGCCTAAATACAAGAAAATCTACTTTAATTATTGTGTGTTTCTTTGTGATGACTTATTCTCTTGGTCTTTTAAACGCCAACATGTAATATCCCACTCTAGTGTAGAGGTTAGAATGTTAGAATGATTTAAGAATTTTGTGCTTTGTGCAAATGTGTAATTTTGTTTCATTTTACAACTTGTTTGAATGCTTGTTTTACTTAGGTTCAAAAGCCACAAATTGTGAAAAACCTCTATTATTTACTATATGTTAGGATGGCTGATAAACTTTGTTTAATTCATTTGATTCATGCTTAATCTTTTGATTATTGTGATTTTGTGGAAGTATTAGAAATGATCAAAGCATTTGTTTATATTAAGCACAATCGTATCCAAAAAATAACTTATCCGTAAATAGTGAGAGTTCGTTAACTCCTTTAAACCTAAACAATTTAGATCTCATTTTAGTGATAAACTTGATTTATGTACATATTTCTTATATTAAAATTACTTAAAAAGAGAGAATTTGAATTAAAAAGCATAAATAAAAAATTAAATTTGAGTTTAACAAACTAAATTAATAATTAAATATATTGAAGAGCAATGATGACGATGATTAAGAAGAAATTAGAGAATCAACACATTAGGCTGTTATGCATATTGATTTAGTAGAGAAGAAAATATTAATTCAAAAACTTAAAAATTCATAAATTATCAACAAATTCTGAAAAACACAAAATTTATCAACAAGTTATTTTTCAATTATAACTTTTTTTTTCTGTGTTTTGCTTTTCATGTTTTATTTTAATTTTTCATTTATTAAGCTATTAAATTATTATTATTTTTAGGTCTTTTTCAAGAATTAAATATTTTTTTCTAAATACTAAATTGAATCTTATAACTATTTAAGAATTAAAATGATAATTTAATTGAAATACAGATTTTAGATTTTGTTAATAAAATACTATCCATTTGTTAGTAGTAAAATACGTAAATCAAAAGTTAACACTAAAGAGGATGTGTATGTCGTGCTGATATTTACGACCAAACTCCTAGGAAGTCAAGTCATCGACGAATACACTAGCCAGCCATATACATTGAATAATACACTGCATGTCTTTTTATGAAGCACGTGAAGTAATGTTCATATACCTAACCTCTAATATCCACTCTCCCTTTCATATAAAATCCTCCAACTGCAACCATCTTTCCACCACAACTAAGTTCTATAAACCAGTTAAGCTCAACTTATATTCCTTTAATTTTATTTCAAGATGGTTAGTGTGTCTGAAATTCGCAAGGCTCAGAGGGCAGAAGGTCCTGCAACTATCTTGGCCATTGGCACTGCTAATCCTG